GCTGCCTACAGACAGTACACAGAAGTGTACTTTTGGTCGTATAATTGTTCCACGAAGGCCAACACTTAACTTACAATTTTTAAGCTAGCCAAGTGTTTTTTTGATATGTCAAGGGCAAAGAGAGAAAGACCTGACTAAAGGTGATTACTAGTTTGCTTATTACATCCAACTTACTTCAGTATTGTGGTGCAATACTATGAAGTCCAAAACCTAATAGTTTTAACAGAATATTGATGACAGTGGCTTAGTGTTTCTTTTATTGCTTCTGAAGAAACAGTTATCTTTTCTATCATGTACAAGCTTTGCTTCTCCATAAACACTATAAAACTGAGAACTACACTATTGCAAGTCAGGATCAGCATAGGACAATGTGCAAAGGATGGCTTTTGGGATATAAAAGAAGGCATCACTTTACATTGTATTATTTCCATTGCTTCAATTTGTTTTGAAGGCTCTCAAGGTGGCAGGGTTATTCCAATGAACAAAAAAAGCAAATAAACCACCATGCAGCTTTTACCATTTTGACTTTGCATTTTAAATTTACATCAGATTAAAGTAGAGACACACCTAAAAAGGAACTAAAATAAAATTAATTTCTACAATCCCACTTTATAGATAGTAAAATCCTGAAACATAGCTGGAATGTATGGAACATACTTTGGTATATCAGATTCTTTTCAGAAGAGATTATACAGTGCCAAGCTCAACCATTATTCTGAACTACCTTTGAAACACTGCAGATTTTCTACTTTGTCTTATTCATGTCACTGACAGGATAAGGCAGCTACATGTTCACCTTTTCTTACATATTAATCAGTGTGTAAATATATAAAGAAACTTCAATAACTGTGTTTTCCAGTGTGATTCTCTCACATAATGAAATAGTTACTAGACTATGACTGAAGAAAAGGTCAAAAGCAAAAAAGGTCAAAAGTTCTGCATGTGAGACAAATCAACCCTGCAAAGCAATAGAAGTTGAGTGCTGACTGTTTGCAAAGAAGCTTTGCAGGTAAGGACCTGGGCATCTTGAGGGACACCAACTTCAGTTTGAGTCAGTAAAGGCTGCTCTAACTAAGCCCACTTTAAGCATTGATTTGGACTAGATGTCAAATGCCTCTCCAACCTAAACTATTTTGTGAATGAACTAAATTAATAATTAATCCAACTCAATCCAAGACTTTGGCACAGTTGCAAAGAGGGATTTCCTTTTACTCCTGTGTGCCCTTCTACGGAGAAATTTCACTCTAGCATTATCACCCCTTGGATAAAGTAGCCCATTTCTCAGTCTCAGAGCTTTTGGCCTTTTGCTTTTTTAAGTAGTAACTAGAAAGCTCAATGGCACCTGACATCTGTAACACCTGTTACAGAAACTGATTAAAATGACTCAAAACCAATTTCTTCAAAATAGTGCATTATTCATTTGCATAAAAGTATGAAGCATGCAAAAGAGCAATTAAGAATGCCTACATGCATATTCTCTCACCTTTACTTTTTTTCCTTGGCAAGACTAATTAAATTCAATAGGGAATGTTTACCCCCTTCCCTTCAGTTGTAGGTTGGACTACAGAAAAAAACATGTATACTCACTGATACTTCCATAGATATCTTAATCCCCCATTCTAATGGCATCTTAAATATTTTAGCAATTTCAGATCTGAGATATATGCTGGGAACAGCCCATTTCTGGACATTTCAATCTAGCTTTCTTATTGGATATATGAATTACTTAGATTTTACATTAAGAGGTGCCTGCAAAGTGCAAGCTATTTTGTTATTTGGAGATAGCATTACTCAAACTCCTCGTAGCATAAAATTTACAACTTTTCAGAAATAGTAATTTTAATATGAAAATGCTTAGGATACCTTTTAGTAAAATCTTAAATTCTATTAAGTTTTTAAATTACTAGTACAGTACAAACACAAAAATTATGCACTATAAGGAGTGAAATCTAGCAGACATTAAAAAGTGAACTAAATTCAATTTAAATTAAAAGTAAAATGTTCAAACTACCATTTGTATTCATCCTTCTAACAGTGATACAGGCATTCTATAAAAAAATCATAACAGTAATTTTTGTTCTAAAACAAAAATACCAGTTCCAACAATGTCAAATACATGGTACACACAATACCCACTCACTCACTTCAAAAATAAAAGGCTCAGATAATCTTTGGTCTGTAGTTTGTTTGTATCATGCTGGTGGGTTGGTTTTGGGGTTTTTTTTTGTCTGGGTTTTTCTTGTGACAGCAAAGAAAATTTAACTTCTGATTATATGCTCATGCCTCCATAATCTGAGGCACTGGACAGAAGAATACTGAATACTGCTGTTATGGGATTACTTAAGGACTGTAATACAGAATCACTGCAGTGTTTCTACACAGTCAGTTTTAGTCTTTCAGGTCCTAATTTTAATTCCATTCAGGCCCTTCCTGAGCCAAGTTTACACTCAAGCTGACAGTGTTGGAACTGTACAGCCTGAGTTTCAACTACACAATAGGTCTCAGGCAGGTTCGTAAATTTTGTGTTGCCCTGACTTCAAAGTTCTCAGTACAAAAGCAATGAAGTCTAGCTCAGTTGTGTGCACAGATGTGCTGATTTTACACCAACTATAACATCAGCATACTATCAGCATAGTAGGGAAATAGTGGGCTATAGGGAAATAGTGGGCTTCATTGCCCAAGAAGCAATCTGACCAAGTGTTTACAAACAAAACTGCTGCTAAAATTGAGCTACCTCATGAGCAAAGACTAGAAGCGATCTTTTTTTTTCTAACATAAAATGATAATAGTTTATCTTTTCTGCTAATATATATGTGCATATATATGCAATATAATAATTTTAAATACTTTAAAAGTATTTGCTCTTACTATTAAAACATGATTGAGGACCATAATGTTTTACAGAAAATATTTTTCTGAAAAAATAGAAGTACCAAGCAAATGTTAATGTGCAATTGTTTTTAAAAGAAACAACTAAAATAACATTAGGTGTTCCAGACCCATTTAGTAGAGAGCTCATGAAAACAACCCTGAAGTAATATAAGAAATATCTGTATAATTTGGACACAATTCTATTTGTTTTCACACTGTTGTTCAGCTAAATGACAACGAGGCATTACTGAGCAAGCAAGTCACTTACTACAGCAGCTAGCCAAAAGATGAGCCAGCAGGGAAGACGACCAACCTGGCTGAACAGAGAATTTTTGCTGGAACTCAGGAGAAAAAAAGAGTTTATGACCTTTGGAAGAAGGGGTAGGCAACTCAGGAACACTACAAGGATGTCGTAAGGTTATACAGGGAGAAAATTGTAAGGGCCAAAGTCCAACTAGGACTTAATGTGGCTACTACTGCAAAAGACAATTAAAAAAAGTTTCTATTAATACATTAGCAACAAAAGGAGGGCTAAGGAGAACCTTCATCCTTTATTGGATGGGGCGGGGGCAGGGAAACATAGTGACAAAGGATGAAGAAAAGGCTGAGGTACTTAATGCCTTCTTTACTGTAGTCTTTAATGGTAAGACCAGGTGCTCTCCAGGTACCCAGCCTCTGAACTGGAAGGCAGGGATATGGAGCAGAATGAAGCCCCCATAACCCAAGGGGAAACGGTTAGCGGCCTACTACACCACTTAGACACACTCAAGTCTACGGGGCTGGATGGGATCCACCCAAGGGTACTGAGGGAGCTGGTAGAAAAGCCCACCAAGCCACTTTCCATCATTTATCAGCAGTCCTGGCTAACTGGGGAGGTCCCAGTTGACTGGAGGTTAGCCAATATGACACCCATCTACAAGAAGGGCTGGAAGGAAGATCCAGGGAACCACAGGCCTGTCAGTCTGACCTCGGTGCCAGGGAAGGTTATGGAGCAAATCACCTTGCGTGCCATCACATGGCACATACAGGACAACCAGGTGATCAGGCCCAGTCAGAATGGGTTCATGAAAGGCAAGTCCTGCTTGACTAACCTGATGTCCTTCTATGACAAGGTGACCCGCTCAGTGCGCCAGGGAAAGGCTATGAATGTTATCTACCTGGACTTTAGTAAAGCCTTTGACACTGTTTCCCACAGCATTCCCCCAGAAAAAACCGCCTGCTCACGGCTTGGCCGGGCATATTCTTCGCTCGGTAAAAACCTGCCTGGATGGCCGGGCCCAAAGAGTTGTGGTGAACGGAGTTAAATCCAGTTGGCCGCCAGTCACAAGTGGTGTTCCTCAGGGCTCAGTACTGGGGCCACTTGTGTTTAATATCTTTATCAATGATCTGGACAAGGGGATCAAGTGCACCCTCAGTAAGTTTGCAGACGACACCAAGTTGGGCAGGAGTGTTATCTGCTTGAGGGCAGGAAGGCTCTACAGAGGGATCTGAACAGGCTGGATTGTATGAGGCTGAACAATGCCAAGTGCCAGATCCTGCACTTTGGTCACAACAACCTCAAGCAACGCTACAGGCTTGGGGAAGAGTGGCTGGAAAGCTGCCCAGCCAAAAAGGGCCTGGGGGTGTTGGCTGACAGCCAGCAGCATGCACAGGTAGCCATGAAGGCCAACAACATCCTGGGTTGTATCAGAGTGTGGCCAGCAGGACTAGGGAAGCAATTGTACCCCTTTACTCAGCTCTGGTGAGGCCACACCTCGAGTGCTGTGTTCAGTTTTGGGCCCCTCACTTCAAGACAGACATTGAGGTGCTGGAGCATGTCCCAAGAAGGACAACAAAGCCGGTGAAGGGTCTGGAGCACAAGTCTTACAAGGAGCAGCTGAGGGAACTGGGGTTGTTTAGCCTGGAGACAAGGAGGCTGAGGGGAGACCTGATCACTCTCTACAACCACCTGAAAGGAGGCTGTAGCCAGGTGGATGTTATCCTATTGCTTGCTACTTGGGAGAAATGACCAAGAGGAAATGGCCTCAAGTTGTGCCAGGGGAGGTTTAGATTGGGTATCAGGAAAGCTTTCTTCACTGAAAGGGTTGTCAGTCATTGGAACAGGCTGCCCAGGGAAGTGGCTGAGTCACCATCCCTGGAGGTATTAAAAGACATACAGATGTGGCACTTAGGGACATGGTTTAGTGGTGGACTGGGCAGTGCTAGGTTGACTGTTGGACTCGATCTTGGAGGTTGTTTCCAAACTAAACGATTCTATGTGTTATCATTTCATTTTTGTTCTCTTGGCACAAAAATAAACTTCTGGATATGGACAGAGGCATGAACGTGCTCACAAACTGACTATTCCACAGTGTCATTATATCAGCATGAAGTCAGAAAGAAACCAAAACAAAACAGCTTTTCAGACAAATACCAGTAACAATACAGTCTACGTTAAAAAAATACAATAACAAGAAGGAAAAAAACCAAGACCAAAAAACTTATTTCTGCCTATGCATGCTGAAGTGCTTTACCTAACAGGTTTAGAAACCAGTCTTAAGTTTACTATAAATGGACAAAGGAGTTACTCCCTTAAGGAAGAAACAAGAGTCGCTTCTGAAGCAAGGTGACAACACAAAATTGCTAAGAAATTGAAGCAAATTTTTTATACGGCATATAGCTGGAAATCTGAAACACTGACTGACCTGAGTAATTTTGACTCTTTTTACATCCTCCAGTTCATTTTACTTAATGTTAAATCACCACAAATGCATTACAGCTCAGTCAACATTCAGTACGAAGCTTGTTAAATTAGAAAACCACACCAGATTCCAACCCTGCCTGCTGTTTATATAAAAGACACTGAAGTCAGTTAGTTTTAGTCCTAGGCAAAGGACAGTAAAGAGTGGATGGATTAGAGACTCATTTTCCCCAGTCAAGCAACAAACTGTCACCACTCTATTACTGTAAGGTGCTAGCACACAGACCATTTCCACTAAAAACACTGAAATACAACTGAGTTCTACCATAGTTCTTAGTAGATGCTGTAAGAGTTACTTCTCCTATGAAGAAAATAAAGGGTGGAGAGAGGGGAAGAGAAGCCTCTTTACTATTTTTAGTGTAATTTTCATTGCTGAATTTTAAAATATTTTGACATCCTTAGTATGCATGATATGTTTCTTTCTTATAATATATGCTTTTTATTATTTCACAAGTGTGCTTATAAAATTGTTTTTAAAAATAAATACAGTATGCTATATGGTAAGTTAATTCTCATCAATTCAGCCTCTAACAAATACAGAGCTGCTTTGTTCACATACTGCGCACAGTTGATATAGTGATGATCTATAGCATTAGTCCATTTATTACTGTGAACATTACGAATACCTTCAAAGCAGCTAAATTTGTGACAGTATTTCCTTCTTACCGTGAATACTTCCCAGCAGAATATCACCTGCTATTGAAGACAGAGATGATGATTCTGCATAGAGATATTTAGTTTTCAGCAGCCCATCTTCAGTAGATATGTTGATGGATGTCCCCTGCAGCTTCTCTATATTCACACTCTAAGAGAAATAAACTTGAATAAACGTAATGGAAACCTTGTCATCACAGTTTGAAAAGGCAGAGGGAAGCAACACTATTAAGAGGCAAAACAAATGGAAAGCAGTTGTTGGTGCAGAACAAACAGAATCAAATTCTTAGTTAAAAGCTACACAAGACGAAACAAAAAACCTTTTCATCCAAGAGCTCTGACCACTAACTTAATGATTCTTTACAACATTCCTATGAATTATTACATCCATCATACATGTGATAGTTGAGATTATCTATGTACAAGTAACAAGTCATGTGACATAACCTACACCTCTTTGAACAAAATAGAACAAATCACATTCTTGTGCAACTACCATATGAATTTAATTCTATTCTTCCTCAGTTAAACTTGATTTATGATGGAATCCTGCAATAGTTCATCCTGAAACCCCATTCAATTTGGTTTTATTGTGCTTATGCAGACTTTAAGTGAATTGCACAAAATCCTTATTCATTACATGGAATGATATATGGTTTTCTAGATCAAACTGTGCCTTACATGTCAATTTATCTTTAAATCCACTTTGTCATTTTAGCATTTTCATCTTGTGGAAAAAAAGTTAATACAAAAAATTGTCTGCTGACTCTTCCAATGTTATGTTTTATAAAGAATATGCTATGGATAAAGTAAGAGGTATTCTGACAAACAGCAATTAGCGTTACCCAAACTCCATGCTGTATTGCGTCCCAAGAGGTGAGGTAAAGAGGCTGGTTTAGTATGGACTATATAACTGCCAAATTACACTGTGATGTTACCAATCCATACATACTGAGCTTCTTTACACCTTAGGTCATAAGATTACATAATGGAGTCTTGTCTCTGGAGACTTCTGACGTGATGCAATGCTACAATACGTAAGTCTCCAAGAACGTAACAAGCTACATTAACCCTTCGGAAAATCTGGTGATCAAAGTGCTATGCGAGAATTAGAGATACATGACAGTCAATGTCTACAATCTCTGTAGGTGATGCTGCTTAAAACTATGCTACAGAATCTAAGCATCAACAGTAAACAAACCTAATGATATTAAGGCATAATTTGTCACTACTCAAGTGACAGTAATTCAGCTTTTCAATCTTTTGATGCTTCAAACAAAACTGTAACAAGTAGAGACCTTAACAAAGTTTACATTGCATCTGTCCTAGGAATGCTTCCCACACAATACTCCACTACTCCCACACCCAGGATGGCAAAGTGTAAACCTGCTGTTGTACATGGCCAAAGCAACAAGAAAAGCCATGGTCATTTTAGGCTCTACGATCTAATCATGTTCTGAAGAGAGTTAAATGATTTGCAAAGTACCTTTCCAATTTTAGCAGGGTCAGCATTGCTGTCAGCATAATGAAAATAGAGGCACAATTTAAGGGGAGAAAATAAAATTAAAAAAAATAAATCTCGTAGTTGGGTGCAAACTGGTGCCATGTG